TGAACATGTTTTAATAAAAGGAAAGGAATGTGAACCATTACAAGAGTCAATGCAGTTCTGAGAGAAAAGTGGGGAATAAATGATCTTACATTAAGTACTTGATTTGTTGTTGTTGTTGTTGTTATTATAACATTTCTATGCCGCCCCTTGCCGAAGCCTCGGGGCGGCTTACAACACAATAAGATACATTGAAATACAATAGAATTTGTTAGTCTTGTTACAATAGATTTGTTAGTCTTGGTGGAGGAAGCAGTGGTATTAATTGTGCTTATTAGGAATGATTATGTTCATTGCTATTATATTAATTGTATTGTTGTTTGTACTTTAATAAAATTTATTTTAAAAAACGAAGTACTTTCTGATGGTTAGGAATTCTTAGCAAATGGAAAGGGCTCTGAGGGGAGATGATGGGGGACCCATCAATGAGGGTATTCAAGGAAAGACCGGACAACCACATGTTGGGTGTAACATTAGAAAAGCCAGCCACATCCGGGGGTCACCCTAGCTATATTTCTATGTAAACCCCAGAACCATCATACAGATTTTGAGGCAGATTTTAATAATTTTCAGGTTTGCAAGTATCTGAATAATATCATAAAAACACAAACACTTCCTCTTTATTTTTGGGCTAGATCAGTTATGGTTTTGTTGCTTCTGTTCTTCAAGATAAATCACAATTTCCTTTTATCTACCGGATGGTCCCAAAAGAAGAAATTCAGGTTGTGGGAATGGTTAAACTGCTCCTGCATTTTCAGTGGACATATGTTGGTCTCCTTGCTTCAAGCAATGACAATGGAGAAAGTTTCTTGAAAACGTTGACACCTCTGCTTCTTAATAGGGGTATTTGTTTGGCCTTCCTACACAGACTAGTAATGCCATCAGATTGTGAAGAGTTGATTCAGAGTGAATTACTTCTTGTGAGGAGACATGTCAACGTATGCATTTATATATGGGACTCTAGCTATGGATTTGCACCATTCATCTCAATACTAGCAATGATACAAAAGGAACGAATTGGGATGAAAGTCTGGATCACAACTTCTTTTCAGGACATCTTCTCCAATGTCTTCAGCCATGATAGTCTCTTTCACTACTTGCATGGCTCTTTTTCCTTTGTGGTGAAGAGCAAGAGAAAGACAGAGGATGACCACTTTGGGCCAATGTCACCAGAAATGACAGAGTTTTGGCTGACAGCTTTTGATTGCTTCTATTCCAAGCATGGCTTGTCTAGGAAAGGCTGGACAAGATGCAAAGAAAAGGAGAACTTGGAGATGCTGTCCCAGGAGGAGATTGAGAGGATCGTGTCTCAAGAAAGCTACAACATTTACCACAGTGTCCAAATCGTGGCGCATGCCTTACATGCTTATACACCCCAATCCCAAAGGATCCTTACAGTGCATGGAGGAGACAGGCTGGGATGGCAAAGAATGGCTTCAGCCATGGCAGGTACTATTTATTTATTTAGCGGACTTATACGCCACCCCATTCGCCTAAGCCTCGGGGCGGCTTACAAATAAATATCATTAATACAATAAAACGCAATTGGAGACATCCTGGCCAAAGTTGTTAAAATCAATAAATAAAATCAACAATTGAAATGCCGTTTAAATAAAAAGGTCTTGGTCTGGCGCCGAAAAGCAAATAATGGTGCACCAGGCGGACCTCTCTGGGGAGCGCATTCCATAGGTTGGTATCACCTTTGCTTTTGCAACACTGTTCCAAATTTAAATCTATTGGTCAATGGAAAATGACCCTGAATTCAGACTTGATCCACATCATTACATAAATCTCAAAACTTATTTCTAAGGGGACTCCATTTGGGTGTTTGTGCCTATTCACAGAATATTGCCCTGATTTCTCTTAGGAGCTCTGCAGAAGATGCCCTGTATGTGAAGGGCTGTCTCGTCCAAAACTGGATTGTATCCTTTAAAGGATTTGAAAGTGCTCATTATCACCACTTCGAGCTCAGTTAGGACAGTTACTTCTAAATTTGTTTCTGCTGATGTTATGAACCTTCAAGTCATCTCCAGCTTAAAGCAACTGAATGAAAGAAAGCCCTCCAAAATATCCTATCCATGAATGCTCTGCACATCTGTTCTAATTTCTAACCTCTTTTTGCCCCTTCTTTTTTCTTGGCGCCTTTCATCAGGAGTGGTTTCAAGTCTTTGATGCTTTCTGCCAGCAAGATGGAATCCTCTACTTAAGAAAAGTTATTTGGGT